CCGGGACCTTTCCCTGCTCTTTGCCCTGCTGGCCCTGCCCCTCCCTGCCCCTAGTCCTGCTGATCTTGGTGCTGTCTCTGGGAGACGGAGGGAGGGCTGGAACCAAGCCATGAAGGCTGCAGGGATGCGTGCAGTGGGCAGCCGGCCAGGTGGCCACAGTAGGGATCAGGCCATGGACAGGGGCTGGAGCCACAAAGACCGTGCTGGGTGGGTCCCCCTAAGCAGGAGGCTCTGAGTTCGGGGCCCTCTTCTTGCCTAAGGAGACTCGGTCCCGTTTCCTCCTTGCCCTGTCTCTCTGCCTCGCCTTTCCCCATGGGAGGAATCTCAGTCTCCCTCTGCCTGTCCTGGTTCTCCCCTCTGGGCTCTAACTGCATGCTGCTCTTAGGGCCTGAGATGGGCTCTGGCCTTGGCACTGCCACAAGCTGGCTGGGGCCCAGCAAGCTCTGCTGTCTGCAGAGTGGGCCTGGGTGCTAGTGGAGCTGTGGGGGACACAGAGGCCACGTGAACCACAGACCCCAGCCCTGGCCACCTCCTAACTCGGTGCCCCTCTGGAGCCCACCAGCCCAGACCACCTCCTCACATCCAGAGCCGACCCAGAAGCCCTGCCCGGGGTGGGTAAGGGCCGGGAAGATGGGGAGCTCCTCGTCACTGGGGTGTGCCCGCTCAGCAGGCTGTTGGAGGAGGGTTCGAGTGTCAGTGGTGGGGGTGGAGGGTGACTGCACCCTCGGAGGCCCGCTCTGAGCCTGCACAGTGGTTCCTCAGCCAGCGTCTGCCCTCTTCCACCCCGGTCCACACTGGGCCGAGATGGGGCGTATGGAGGGTGGTGGGCTCACTTGACTCAGCGCGCCCCCATTGGTGTCTCTCAGGGGTGAGAACGGTCCTGGGGGCTTCGTCGTGCTCAAATCAGCCAGTAACCCCCGAGTCTGCACTTTCATCTGGATTCTTAATACAGATCTTAAGGTGGGGCGTGGGGGACTGCTGGGTGGCCTCGGGTGGGGAGCTCAGGTGCTGATTGGCTGCTGTGTGAACTCGGGGTCCTCTGCCCCGCTCAGGGCCTCTTCTGCATGCATGGACATTTGGGACGTGGGCCAGGTGGTCTCCCCCTCAAGTTGCTGGCGCATGTGCCTCCCCGTCCCTACCTGTGCTCCTGAGCCCCAGGGAGGGGTGACTGGCAGCCTGCCCAGCCCCTTGGTCTGTTTGTGTGGCTGGTGCCAAGCCCTGGGCACAGCCTGTTCTTCCTGCCAGGGGCAAGGGGGAAAGGGTGGCCTAGGCTGGCCTCCAAGGCAGCACCTGCATTCTGTGCCAGCTGTCGAGGGGGAGACCCTGCCGAGGGCACGCCATCCCGTCACTTCCTCTGCCTCCCCCAGGGCCGCCTGCCCCGGTACCTCATCCACCAGAGCCTCGCGGCCACCATGTTTGAATTTGCCTTTCACCTGCGACAGCGCATCGGAGAGCTGGGGGCCCGGGCATGACGTGTCCCCTTGCCCACCCTGCAGGCCAGGGTCCTGGTGCCACAGTCGCCAGGAGCCAGAGAGGGAGGCCAGCTGGGCTTCCTGCTGGGCACACGGGACTTGGCATAAAGCACTGGGCAGCATCTTGGTCCCAGCTGCCACTCCCCACCGAGCCACACTGTGCCTGGGAACCGTGGCCCCGAGCAGTTGGGGCCACGCAGTTAGACTCTGGGGCTGCGGCCAGAGGGAGAGTCTGTCCTGCTGGCATTTACCTGGTGTCTGTCTCCTGGAGGAGACCAGTGTCCCCTCCCTTGCTGGGGGCAGGGTCTAAGATGAGTCTCAGACTTGGGTAGAGAGGGCCAGGGCCCTGGGCAGGGCAGGGCAGGGCAGCCTGTCACCAGTGGTTGGTGACGAAGCCCTCTAATGCCTGTGCTTTTGTCACGGTTTTTTAGGATTATTTAAAGGTCTGGGACCTTTTTCCATATGCACTTGTTGGGGAGTGGGAGGAGGGCAGGGAGGCCGGGTGCTGGCAGTCAATTTCTGCCTCTCCCAGGTCCTCCCCAGGGCCTTTTTGAGGACCTTTGTAATTTGAGCCAATTAAAAATAATGAATTAAAAAGAAAAGTCTGTCTTGCTGCTTGGCCTCTGGAGGGAGGGAGAGGGCAGCAACCTGGATGGAGAAGACAGCCTCTCCCAGGCTCGCCCCACCCCCATTTTCCTGATGGTTCTTCTGAGCAGATGACTGGTCAGAGAGAAGTGCCCCGCCCCCTGCCAGGCCTCAAGCCAGGATTAGGGGTAGTGAGGGAGTCACCCCGCCAGTGACCAGCAGTGACCCTGTTGTGCCTACTGCAGGCTTTGCCTGTCCTGGAGGTAGGGCCTGGGCTTCAGGGACTAAGGCACCTGTAGGGTTCCAGCCACGGGACCCCTTGGGCTCTCAGCCTTCACTTGCCTGGCCCCCTTACACCTGGGTCAGTGTGGAGCCTGGGGTTCCACCTGCCGTCCCTCTCCCTCCCGCACAGATTTGTACAGGAGCCAGCAGGGGAGGGCCAGGTGGGCCCTCTGGTCCCCGCTAAGTGTGTGACCCTGGGCAGGGCTACCTCTGGGCTGTGCGCTTGGACGTGAGACTCAGCCGGGCGAGTGCCTCAGGAGTCAGTGCGGCCGTCCTGCACCCAGGTGGGTGCTCTGCTGTCCCAAGGTCACCTCGGCTCCTGCCACTGCCTCTTCTGTTGTCCACTCAGCAGTGTTGCTCTTCACGCCTTCACACCCACCACCCTGTGCACCAGCTTCTGGCACCCTGAGGGGCTACCTTTGGTTGCTGGCCCGTTCCCACCCCATCTTGCTCCTGAATGAGAGCCAGCACACTCCCAGGCACGGCATTGCAGCTGCCAGGCTCCTGGCTCTTCTAGATACCCCATTGTGGCCAGAAGGTGGGACAGTGAGGCCCAGAGAGGGGCACGGACTGACCTAGGCTCACAGCCTGTCTACAGCCAATTTGGGGCAAGAGCCAGGTCTTCTCACTGCCACTTACTGGAGCCGCTAGGCACTGGGGGCAGGGGTGGGGACCGCCCCCTACCCTGACTGGCCCAACTCAGGAGACCACTTCTGTGACCAGTGGCCATGGGCAGACTCCCTCACCCGACTGCCTGGCCTCCCAGGTGTGGGGCTAACCCACCCCCTGCTGGTGTGGCTGCGGTGATGTGGGTGGTGGAGGGGCACCTTCGCTGCAGACGCTGAGGACGTGCTCGCGCCATTCCTTCCAATCAAGGGGGACAGTCTGGCGGGGTGCCCTTAGCCAGGCAGAGACCAGCGGGGGAGGCCCTGGCAGCCTGGTGCAGAGCCCAGAGGGACATCGGTTCCTGCCGCTTCCTGCTGTTTACACGCAGGCCACTGCCCTCCTTCCCGGGGCAAGGGGAACGGGTGGCGTGGAGGGCAAGTGGCGAAGTGGCACGAGGCTGGGCACGTGGTTAGCCTGAGGCGGGGCCTTCCGAGTGTCAGACACCTGGAGGTGGTGCTCTGGGGGCTAGGGCCTTGCAGAAGCTGACCTCCCTTAGGGCAGCCAGTGTAGGTACCCCTATCCTCCCCACCCTTTGTGCCCAGCGTCCCCCTCCTTAGTGAGTCTTGGCTCTGCTTATAGCATCTGACGCCAGGGGGCCGAAAATAGCCCCTCGGAAGGGGGGAGAAGGGGCTATTTAAAGGGCCTGGGAGGAGCAGAGCAGAGGGGCAGTACGCAATCATGGCCGCCTCAGAGCTGAGCTGCCAGGTGTCCGAGGAGAACTGCGAGCGCCGAGAAGCCTTCTGGGCTGAATGGAAGGATCTGACACTGTCCACTCGGCCGGAGGAGGGGTAAGTGTGGGTCCACTGGGAGTTCCGCCTCTGCTCCCCCAAAGCATCAGCCCTTCATGAGGCCAGAGCACAAAACCCTGGAGAAGCTTCTGGAGGTGGGGGCAGAAAGGGTGCTCTCTTGGGGAGAGAGCTGGAGTCACCTGTGGACCTGGGCCCTTGCAGCCCTAGGGCGCCCCCACCCAGCCCGTGGCTGGACAGCAGCTCACAGGAGCTCACTGCCCTGCCCTTCTCCTCCCCAGCTGCTCCCTGCACGAGGAGGATGCCCAGCGGCATGAGACGTACCACCGGCAGGGACAGTGCCAGGCGCTGGTGCAGCGCTCCCCCTGGCTGGTGATGCGCATGGGCATCCTGGGCCGCGGGCTGCAGGAGTACCAGCTGCCCTACCAGCGGGTGCTGCCGCTGCCCATCTTCACCCCCCCCCAGGGGGGAGGCGCC